TTGAAGTTCTTTTTGAATCTAAATTTCTGTAATCGTACAAGAGAAAATATTTTTCACATGAAGATTTACATTTATTTTGAAAAGTGCCTCTTTTTGTTTTGAACCCACAGGGCTAATAACCACAATAAAAATGAGTGAGAAAAAAAACTGAAAAAATATTATTTAGCACTATAGTTTGGAGCTTGAACATTCCCCAAAGGTCAGAATATTGAACGCATGGTCACTGGTCTCTGGCACTTTTCAGAGCTGGCACCTCTTAAAGGTGGTTCCCCTGAGAGGAAGTCAAGTCACTGGGCATGTGCCATGAAGGAAATACTGGGACCCCAGTGTATATCCCCCTTTCTTCTCCTATCCTCCCTCCTTCCAGGCTCCCAGGAGGTGAGCAGCTCTCTTGGTCAAGTGCTCCCAACATGTTATTCTCTGCTGCCACAGGCACAAAGTACTAGAGCTTAATGACCATGGACCAAAAGCCCAGAAAATATGAACCCAAAGAAACCTTTTCTTTCTTTATGGGTTGATTATTTCAAGTGTTTTATCATAGTGATGGAAAGTTAGCTAATATACCAACTAAAAATGACATCTTTAATGTTAAAGGTACTTTACATTAAGACCTCATTTTTTCTTGATAGCATCCAGGGTCCTTGCGGTGGCTCTGTTGTCCTCCCTCGTCTTGTTCCTCATCTCCCCATTGTGTCTGCTGACGGAGGTTTGCTTCCTTCACCACTTTGTACAAAACAGTAGCCTTCCCTCTCTTGCATCGCCATTCCTTACATCTCCTTAATTTTCTCCATAACTCATACCACAGTCTGACAATTTTTTTCCAACACCTTTTCTTATATGAATTAAAACGTAAATCGTATGAGGGCAGATGCTTCCTTGATACTGTTTCCCATTGAAAGTTTAAGTATCTGATACATAGGTATTCAGTAAGTATTTATAGAATTAGTTGATTACTTCTACTCTAAAATCTTTTAGGTTTATTTTCATGTCTAGATTCTCTATACTGAAAAAAGTAAACTCCAGTTTTGAAGATTTGAGTTATCCAAGCGCTTAAAGGTTGTTTCTTTGTACACTTAGTTTCTGGTCTTAAACTTTATATCTCAATTGCTTTTGCGAGTAACAAGTGTAAACTATGCTGAATGCATGGCATTTTAATAAGCATATTCTTGTTTGTTCTCCCTATTAATCAAAGGGAGGTACTATTCTCATTTATAGATTGGTTTGGGGAAGTTGTAGGACACATCCAATGTTCTATGCAACAGATTCAAACCTAGATCTGCCTAAGTCCAAAGCTTGAGTTCTTAAACATTTTTCCAAAGTTTCAAGTAAACTTTGTGATAAAGATTATTACCAGATAATTATCATAAATGACTTTAGAATATTGGGATAGAACATCATGATAATTTAAAGAAAAGAGACTGGATATTTTCTTTAGTGATATTGGAAGAAGAAGGGATGATTTATGTGACCGTTCTAAAGTTCTTGAGTGGAGTCTATCAGGAGGACATTGATGAATGCAGGGAAAACATAAAACACATAAACAAAAACATAAAACATCTGGGAACGTCATCATTGCCCAAAGGGGAAAGAATGGTGGGAAATAAAAACATTGAGTTTCATGACCTAGATTATGGCTAGTAAGTTATAAACACTTAAAAAGAAACTGACTTGGACATTGATTTATTTTATTCAAGATTCATTCATTATTATTTTTTTGTATATGAATGTTCACCTACAAGTATGTATATGTACCACATGACTGGTGTCCACACAGTCCAATAAAGGGCATTGGATTCTTGGAACTGAATCTATGGACAGTTGTTATCCACCATGTGGGTGCTGGGAAATGAACTTGGGTCTTTTGCAAAAGCAGGAAGTGCTTTTATCTGCTGAGCTATCTCTCCAGATGCTGGACTTTGATTTATAATTGAATAATCAATAGCTAAACTTATTCCATATGATTCAAATTTCTAAGACATGTCCATAATAAACCTTAAATATAGTGGACAGGATAGTTTTAAGGCCAGGGAATGACCTTTGGAAAGAAAATGGGTAGGGAAGAGGGAAGGAGAGGGAGAAAAGTGTGTGTGCTTATAAGAGAAAGACATTTTATATGTGCAGTGTATACATACATACATGCTTGGTTAGTTGTAATTCAAGTTGATATGTTTATATAATTCTAAGTAATTCAGGCTGTATTTGTAATTCTTATCTAAGGCAATCTTGTGACAAACTTGACATTGCCTGATTTTGTAAAAGATAAACAACTATATTTTCCTCAAGTTAACTAGAGATTATTTCTCTTAGAAATAGCAAAACACTGTTTTCCACTTAACTTTTTATTGCTGTGTTGGTTAGTTGGTTAGCCTTTTACAGTTGAAGAAGCATTCACATTTTGTCTGTGATGTAAGGTCATTGGCAGTCCTTGTGCTTAATTTACATTGTGATTGTGAATGTGAGAATCATTTTACATTTTCCTTCTGATTTTAAAATAATGAGCAATCCTTTGTGTAATCATGACTACAACTGGGCTTCTGGATTCTACACATGTACCGTCTTATGTTTTAGTTTTTTGGGGGGAAACTTCTTCAATCCAGGTTTATTTTGTGTTCTTACATAACGTTTTAAAAATAATGTTTTTACTCTTTGAGAATTTCATACACTGTATTCTGGTCATATTTGCCCGTCATGTCTTCTTTCAGATCACCACTGTTGTGTTTTACACTTGCTATTTGAAGAACCTTTTCTAGTAGTTATTCTGAATACCACAAAGGATGGATTTTTTTTTTAAATGCGCTCTGTTACTAGTTAGAATTGGCTGTCATTTGTAACTTTGTCTGCATTTGACAAACTCGGGTTACCTTGATAAGATTTGTTAGCAGACTTTCTTTCTTACATACTCACTTGAGAATGTAAAAGCTGCTGTCTCCATTCTGAAACCACTTCCTTCTTTAGAGCTTTGTAAACTTTGTCCACTGGCAACCACTTAGCGCCTGAGAAATTTTTACATAGACTAAGGAATATAGATATATAAAATTGGTAAATCAAGTGTTACCAATAATCATAAAGGAATTTATTTTAAAAATTCTTGATGTACACTTAACTTTTATTTATTAAAGACAAAGGGGGAAATTTCATACTATTGAGATGGACATAGTAGTTTATCTTTCATAAAGAATTGAATCTTGGCTGAATTTTTTATACTGTAGGGTACAGGACACCTCAGTGTTCTTAGAGTTAATTGGCATTTTGGTTTTAGAATAATTCTGAACAAAGACATAGTATAATATGGCAGAAATATATTTAGGGACACTTTAGAGATTGCTGAAAAGTCTTTTCTGATCCCAAACCAAAATTCACTGAACGATTTTTATGAACCCCAGTTCAGTAGTACAGACAACAGTTTCAAAAATCAAGCACCCTGATACAATATGATGTAAAGATGTATTAATTTGATGCTTGCATGCTAAGGCATGATAGTAGGATAATATCAGAAGACTTTTTTCCATAATTAAACCATTATGCTTCTATAAGAGCATAAAGTTTTGTGCAGTGAAAACACTGCAGTTGGTAACATAGAGTGTCTTGAATCTGAGTGAAGGTCTCTGTTGGTGTTACATGGTGTGATGACATGCACGGTGCACAGTATGCGTGATGTATCAGAACTGAGGCTGCATGAAGTCAGACCTGAAACTTGGCCAAGTGCTCCCAGAAACACTTTGGTTTTTATATACATTTGATTTTGAATTAATTTTTGATAGCTACACATTTAGAACACTTTTCTTCTTGCCAAATTTTAGTTACTTCACCCCATATGTAGCCACGTCCCCCACACAGTTTATGAAGCTGGATTCTATTAGACAGTCCATAAAATTGTTCTATTTTGAGCCCTGTTAATATCCATCCAGTCTGTATAAAATCTTATGAGTATGTGTGTTAATAGTTATGTGTCTATACAGTTGGCTTTATGTATCACTGGGTTCCATATCCATGAATCTAACTAACAGCTGGTTGAAAATAAAAAAAAATGGTAAACACTATTGAACATGTATAGTCTTTTCTAAACTTAGTATTCCCTAAACAGTACTGTAGTAACTGAGTACATTGAATTTGCATTTTTAGTACCTATTATAAGTAACTTGGAGGTGACCTATTGTCTGTGGAGGAATGTGTATAATTCATATGCATATATAAGAGACACATTTACAGATTTGGGTATCTGTGGGTGATATAATTGATTAGATTATTTTCAAAATTGTACATTCATAGATACTGAGGGACATTATACATACATTATATATGATATAAATATGCATAATTATTCATTTGTTATTGCATTAGTGCAGTTAATTTGGAAGTTGTAGAAGATATTTCATGACTAGTATTAGATATCCTTTCATTGTTTAGTCTGAGGTTTAATAGTAAATGTTTTGCTTTTTGTAAGTCACAAAAATGATAACATTAGTATCTTTTGCAGATAATTGATTTCCTCCTTGTTACAGGTCCTTCTGTTCTGCATCACAGCGGCCATGTACATGTTCTTTTTCAGGTATGCTCTGTTTTAACAATTTATTCCGATATCAAAAATAGCATTTCTTTCTAATTTCTTTCAACCAAGACTCAAAAGTATCCCTCCCCTGAAATAAGTATCTTCAATAAATGGCATGGATTCTCCCTCCCTGGAGATTAAAGAAAAAGCCTCCCTCTTTGTGAGTAAAGATAAAAAAAAGGGAAAAGGGTTTATCCGTCCTATGTTCGCCTTATAGGCTCATTCCAGCAAGTTAAATATGCCAACTAATAGCACTCCAGTGTTGACAAGTGAATCTTATATTCTTTTTTAGATTTGATTTTAGACAGTCTTTACTCTTGATAAAACAGTCAATATTTTACATTTATATTAGTAAAAAAGTGGAAGTAGAGTCTCTAAATCTTTTTTAAGGGTCACCTAGAATACTAATAATAGTCTTAATAATGCTCTGTAAATAAAGCCTGTCTGTGTGTTAGAGCTGTGCTGTTCACTGACAGTGACGTTTTGAGAGGAGTGTGTGTGTGTGTCTCAAATCTGAATGCCAAGAAGGATGACGCACCTTCATATTACCACTTTGGAATGACAACAGCAGTATAGGGAATGATTCCTGTTTAGAGAGAATCCATTTCTTCACAAGCTTTATTTTCATAGTAATTAATTCCTATTCATATCATTTATTACACTCATTTAGGTAATTCTGTATTGACTGTTTTGAATTCAGTCATAGCAAAAATCACTGTGCTTCGAAAACTAAAATTTGTACTTAGTTGACAAAGGCAATTATGGTCTTTTAGTAAGAAACATTTGATAGACGTTTTTCATTTTCAAATAAAGAAATTAAACCATACCAGTAATTCAAAGTAATGATTTCTTCCTCAAAAAGCCTAGTAAATATTTGATAAAGCACAATGTTGTAATTTTAAACTAGTCTATATAAATTAAAAATGATGTTACTGTTGCCAGGGTATCAGATAAGAAAACATTGTAAAGATTCATGGTAAAGAGGACTTGCTCTGTATAGAACTGATATTGGATCATGTAGGGTTTTTTATATCAATAGCTAAGGATTGAAAAAAATGGAGCTATCTGGGGATTTTTGTGAAATGTACCCATCCCCACCCCCTCTACTTTTTTCCTTTCTTTGATTTCTTTGTTTCAGTTGAATCCAGAGGCTTGTGAATGCTAGGCCAATGCTCTAAACACTGATTCACACACCCAGCCTGAATTTTAAAATTTATTTTTATACCATATCTTCATATAGTCTGTATTATTGCTCTGTACACAAAATTGATATGCTACATAATACAGTATTTCTTATACTTTAATAATTTAGAAGTAGAAAGAGAAACAATGCATGTTTTACTTAATTAATTCCCCTAAACTTCATAGTTGTATCATGTATATTATTAGGGCACTGCTGGGAAAAACTCAAATTTATCTTTGTATCTTTATGTTCTTCCTAGTCTGAAGATACAACATACTGTTTTGTTGATAAGTAGGGGAATAAAGTTCAGTGTGAAGTCATTTTTCTTTTGTGAAAAATTCTTTTATTGGGGGTGCTTCTTTTTGAGACGAGGTCTCTCTGTAGCACCAGCTGGCCTGGAACTACCTATGTACACCAGGCTGACCTTGAACTCACAGAGATACACCTGACCCTGCCTCCCATGTCCTAGAATTAAAGGTGTGCACACCACAGCCGGCTTTTGAAAAATTCTTAACAGGTAAAGGAAACAGTCTTTCCCAGAGTGTCTTTTAAGTATAACATGCATTGTTTTGCTTAGCAATTCTTAATCATAAGAAGTCTTTGAGGTTTAAAAACAAATTGCATGTTGAATACACTGATGAATGTCCAATTTGTTGCATGGGTCTAGTAAATTATATTTTGAAAACTGCTACCATCAACCCAGTATTTTTGGTGTAGAAAGAAAATCAGCCCTATAAATATGTGTTTTGGGGCAGAACTACAGAACCTTTTCCTGTTTCAGTTACAAATGTCTGAGTTAAAAACAACAGTTTAAAATACTTTCCAGAAGGCTCAATATGAGGTTTAAGTGCCAGGATAAACACTTTAAATTTTCTGAGGAAAAGGGCTTATTTTTCTCCCAAAAGAAGTACTATCACCAAATTCTTAATGTTCTTGGCAGAAGTTAGTATGAATAACCCAACAAGGGGTTTGGTGAATGGTAAAGTACAGCCCTTTCTGAGCACTCCAACCGAGCAAAGCAGTGCCGGTGCTTCCCTGAACTCTAGGCTGTTTGTTTGGAATGAACGGTTACTGTACATAGCATGTGGCGAGTCCAATTGCATTTTAAAGTGTCTTATTCTTGGAATTAAATTTTACTATAAATATTTGTGAACACCATTTTATCGACAGAATTTTAATTCTAATCACATAAAATGCATAATTAAATATAAAATGATATTCCCCTAAGGTCTCCTTTTGATGGTAGCCTGTCTTGGCAAGAGACTAAAGGAAAAATTTTGTGTTTAAATGAATCAGCTTATATGTTTTATCCTAATGCATAAACTGGAAAAAGGAAAATAAGACCAATTTCAGTAGCGATAAAATATTCGTGTTTGTGTGTGTGTGTGTGTGTTTAAGCAGGGACTTGAGTAATTTCATGAGTATTTTCTGAAGGAGCCCATGTCTCTAATGTGTGATTGATTTTACTTACAAATCAATACAGTGATTTTGGCATTCAGAACTATGCATAACAAAATACATAATGAAATATTTCATGTTCTCATTGCTCCTAATTGATTTTTAATATTTCTTTTACATAATTATCTTGTACATGGTGATTGTGCTTTTCCATCTGTATACCAGAACAGAGATGTGTTCACATGGAATCCTGGGAGCACCTTAGATCTTTGAATTGGAGGAAAGTAATAACTGCAAATGACTTCCAGTTTTGTTCTAAGTTTTAGCTAGCTTCCTGGCAGCCATGCAGGCATCAAGGTATCTATTCCTAAAAGCTGCTATGCATTCCAGTAGGAATTCAAATACAAGGAAGGTTGAAGCTTTCCTTGAAGATGTTTTGAAAGGAGGCTGTTTTACAGTCTCCATGGGCATTTTTTTTTTTGAAATTTTTTTAAAATTTATTTATTTATTATTTACTTATTTATTATGTGTATGAGTGTTTTGCTTGCATGTATGTAAGTGCACTCATGTCATGCAGTGCCTGTAAAGACCAGAAGAGGGTGTCAGGTCCTCTGGAACTGTAATTACAGATGGTTATTAGCTGCCATGTGGATGCTCAGAATGGAACTTGTGTTCTCTGCAAGAGCAGCCAGTGCTTTTAACCTCTGAGCCAACTCTCCAGCCCCATGAAATACATCTTAAAAAAAAAAAAGAAAAGAGTTAGCCTTTCTTTAAATGATTTGATCATGACTCCTAACCAGAATCAAGCATGCTTGTGGGAATACAAAATACAAAGACATCTAGTGCCTGAAGAGGTAAAATTTATATGTTGGCATACACTGAAAGATTATCAGATATAAAAAGAAGTAGAGATAGGATCCACAAAAGAGAAATCTCTACCAATAGAAACCAACCCAGAACTCACATAAATGACAGAATGAGTAGAGCAGGACCTCCACACAGGCCCAGTGGGCATTCTTGATAACCTTCATTTGGTCATCTGCTTTTTCATTATGTGTGCATTTGTTATAGCTGCACATGAGGGCATGCAGGCCAACCAGAAGTGATGGCCAAGAATTTGATAGAAGATTTTGTTTTGTGTACTCCTTTTCCACATTATTAATGTTCAGGTATACATGATGGGTAAAGTAAGTTTCCGAAACAAAGCCTTCGCCAATCCCCACTTCTTCATTCTGGCTTGAGAGTGCTTCTCTATAGCCTGATCTGGCCTGGGACTCCTGTGTACCCTAAGTGGGCCTCACACTTGTAGCCATATTCCTGCCTAAACCTCCTCAGTACTGGAGTTACAGGCATGAGCCACCACAGCAAATTTATGATTAGGATTTTTCCATAGTTATGTGGGAAGAGGCTCTTTACGCTGCTGCTTTATTTTTTTCTTTTTCTGGTTGAGACCCAAAGGAAAGAATCAACAAAAACATAAAGTGAACCTATAAGGAGGAAAAAAAAAATGCATTTCTAAGTATTTATTCCTTAGTTTTATTTTCATCATTAGCTGCCTGTGCATAAAGAATACACATATTTTAGGAAAAGCAAGTAAATTGCAATCATTTCTTTAATTAAATGAATATGAAATAATGTCATATGGTATACAATAATAACTGACCCAGGTTGATGCATACTAGCTAGAAATTCCACATGCCTTTTCAGAGTCAACAAAATGATCAGTAATTGTTTAAGCATGTATCTTGTGAAACTTGGACTTGTCCTAGCAGTTAGTCCACAGACTGTGTAAGATTGTTGTACAATACACAAGTCATAAATAATCTAAAGTTAGTGTGGGGAAGTGCTGTATTTTTTGTCTAGAAGTCAATGCAAATGAAAGTATACTGATTTTAAAATATATTTGAAGACTAATTTTTGCCATTTGATGTGTTTAGGTCAGATACATATAAGAAACAATTTTTATTCTCAATAATAAAATAAAAAACAAAATAGGGTTTTTTTTTTTTTTTTGGTCCTTTCTGTGGTCACCGCCAGTGGCAGCCGCTCCTCTGTTCTCCCGGGCGCTGCTTCTTTGTTCTCATGGGCGTTGAGGCTGCTTCTCCACTCGCCCTGGGCTGAGGCTGCTCTTCTGCCTGCCCTGGGGTGAGGCCGCTCTTCTGCTCACCTGGTGCCGCCTTCCATTGTCACTGCTTCTGCCTGGTCCCGGACTCCAGGGCTGGTGAGGAGACTGTGTCAGCAGAGCTGCCTTCAGACGCAGTTGACCAGGTTCAGTGACACAGATTTGCTTTATTGCAGGAAGGCACAAGCTTATATAGGGGTAGTGGTCCAATCACAGCACAGCAAGTAAGATACCTTATTAGCATAACAGACTTAGCGTCCTATTAGCATAGCAGACTTAATGTCCTGTCACAGAATA